TGCAAGGTGCAAGGTGCAAGGGAAAAGGGTTACCTGCCAATACCTTAGCAACAACTCCTCATCAATGTACTGCAATAGACTCCTGTTGGGAGAAATTATTAAAATTACAAACTGATCAGAGAAAGTAGAGTTACAAAGTATTGAAATAGGAACAAGTTGCGAAAATAAATTTAGGTAAGGACTAGGTGTAATATAAGGACTGACTAATTAAGTATTTTCAGTGATATTTCAACATTACACTGTAACACCCACAAAGAGAATTTCAAGTTTAAAATACATATTCATAATCATACAATCGAAGTAATATAGTTGATGTTTCACATCCGGTAATTAATTTCTAGTTCTAGGACATATTCGTACAATACGTAAACGTTTCGATAATTTATGTACCGGGTATGCAACATTCGAGTAAAAACTGTTCACAGAATGTAATCAGTATTAATAATATTTCAATACAAAATAAATTCAATGTGTCAAATCTAGTGAATTTTTACTGTACTTACGTAGGCGGTGCACGCAATATATTAAGACTTTTTAAAATGTTTATTATAAGCATGCAACATTCACTATTAATCATTAGCAAGCATAATTATCAATGCATTTCAGAACACGTACGTAAATAAAATTATACAAGTATAAAATGCACAAGGTTTGTATACCATTAAAATAGAAATAAAGAATAGATAAACATAAAGAAAAAACTTTGTACAATTGTACTATTGTTTGTACATGTATCGACATTCATGCATATTTAAAATGAAAAAGTAACGAAGCAAAAATTGTATTGTTTTGTATGGCACAATTTACATTAACTGGTTTTATACAGTATTTTACTTGAACAAATTACCATGCTATTATGTACACATTTACTAAAAACAGTTTATTCCGAGCTAGACAGACGTTATCTTATCTATGTTGGAGGCATAAACATTTGCAATAAACAATGTTAATTTTACTGGGGATTTATGTAAAGCAACGAAATATGTCCACACCAACACTACTTGTACTATATGCATTACCTTAAAGTCATACGAAATATTTCTGTGCCTGTTTTGCTTCGACGTGATTCTCTATTATCTGTTGTTACGCTAGCGGCAACAGTACTGACACAGAAATAAATTACATCATGTTTCGGAAGAGTACGGCAGAGAATTATCCAAAAGGGATTGCGTAACAAAATTTGCGATGCAAATTAAAATAAAAGAAAAAGGTACTGCGATCATTTTACCACGTTTTATCATCAATGTGGATTTATTTTTAATGGAAAACAAAATTCATTTGTAATAACTAGTGCAATATATGCAAAGCAAAAGCAGACGTGCCATATGCAACGTAACATAACACTGCTGTTTCACTTTACTCGCTTTTAAATAATACTGCAATTAATTTTGTGCTCCAAAAATATCGTTTCGTAAAGCGGGGTACTTCATTGGATAAGAGACGATTACTAAACATATAGTGAAACAGCAATTACCATATTAGTGGAAGGACCTTAAAGCAACAACCCTCCCGACATTTTAGGGTAACAGAAAGGACTACGTAATAACACTTATTTTAATTGAAAATACTTACTTTTCTTGTTCGTCTTCGAATGCAGTACCAATACCACAGTCTGGATGCGCATCACAGTTATGAACAGTCTAAACATACAGATATGAAAGTAGAATTATTGTGTAAATCTTTAACTCTGACACGCGAATCAGAGAACGTTTAAGAAATACGAAGCACCTTTACATTATTCATGATATCCATGATATCCCATGCTGGATTGCCATCTACAGATGGTGATATTGCTTCCCTTTGCAATGTGCCATCTAGATTAATTTGATCTACAACACGAATAGAGTGCAAGTTTATAAGAGAAACTGTATTGGATTGTATGGTTCCTTACCATCGCTATCTAATTGTGGTATAGGACTTTTTGGTCTAGGTCTTGCGGTATGACGCGACGCAATCCTTTGTGGAACATTAGGTACGGCTCCATCTTCATCAGCTTCTAAATCAGTAAACATATGACTAGGATTTGATACCTTTTGCAACAATTCCAAAGCTAAACGTTTACTCATTTCGCCTTGAAAAAATGCGTGCTGGAATTAATAGCATCTGTTTAAAACAACGTTATCAATGTAGTATGGTGTAGAGAAACAAGTTGTAAAAGAAAAATAACCTGTAGAAGTTTTTCAGCTGTTGGTCGTTTTTTAGGGTTTTTAGTGAGAGCAACTTTAACAAAATTATGGAATGTCGGACTCCATTTGTCCCTGTCTTTTAAGGTTGGCGGCTTGAAGCCAGATTTGGACATGAGAAAAAGTGCCCGCATAGGATGCAAATCGAACATGGGTGGCTGCAGTTCTGCCAATTCTATTGCGGTGATACCACATGCCCAAATATCACAAAGTTGATTGTAGCCACCTTTTCTTTCTACAGCTGCCACCTGAGAATCAGAAAGGTATAAACCTTTTGTGTGTCTTAAGGTGTACATATACGCATGATCGCAGAATGTCAAACAACCTCGGGTGCCATCCAATAAGGAGTGCCAATAAAACTTTTCCTTTTATTAATAGTGGCTGTAATTTGTGCGGATACACCAAAGTCAGCTAACTTGACATCACCGGCTTCAGTCAATAATATATTGGCACTCTTAATGTCGCGATGCATTTTCCCCATACTGTGCAAGTAATTCAATCCCAACAGAGTCTCACGACACATATATGCTATTTGTATTTCTGATAATGGTCCAGTTACTGTAATCAAATTAAATTTCCTAGAATCTCGGATTACGCATAGAACACCATAATAAAGAAAATACATCAATAAAAAGCATACTGTGATATATATCTTGCAAGGAACCACCTCCGCAATATTCCATACAAATCCATAATTTATCCCTTCTCAAGTAGCTCCCATAATACGCAATTACATTGGGATGCCTGCAATCTTTCATCATCAGAATTTCTTGCTGAATAATTGCAAAATCATCCCCTAAAATATATAAGTAATCACTCATAAACCATAGAACGAATATCAAACATATTCATTTAATACATAAGAAATCATTTGTCCAATTAATCTACCACGGTGCACAGTCAATTCTATTATTCATTTTAAACGAAAATTCAGTGTACAGAGAAGTTGAATAAACTGTATTCAGACTACAAGATTGATAACAAGTGTATAGAAATGAGAGCCAATAGGAGTTCCTTTAGATTGAGTATAAAAGAAAAAGAAGAAGAGATCGCAAGTCGAAACATTAAGAGGATCATAGACCCATAAATGGATCAGCTATCTCCGTTGAATCTTCTGTAAACAAGAACCAAGAAATGGTAAAAAAAAAATTTGGAAAAGCTTACCTGGTTCCAATTTGATAACCTTAATAGCGGCGAGGTCATTCATAGAAAGTCTTTTGGCCTACGAAAATAAATTGAATGCAGTGCATGTCGAATGTTCCCGGCTAGCAGCCGAAAATTTCTTTGGCCTACAAACCTTGTAAACATCTCCGTACGTTCCACTACCTATCCTCTGAATGAGCTCGTACTCATCCTGTGGATTTCTTCGGCTTATGTCACTGGACAGTGCATTCGCGTTCAAAGCCATCATCGAGCACAGACGCGTCCAAGCGAACACCTAACGAGCGTAATTAACATCTACAAAAGGGGATTAACGTTTAACGTGTGAAAACACATTTGTTCATTAGAATGTCACTTTCGTCGAAACGTCGCCATTGTTCACAACAGCTCTGAGGTTGGCCGCGTCTCAGCGCGCGATTCCACGATACATCGATCTCTGCCCGGATCGATCGCAACTCCCAGGGGAAGTCACAAATTTGAATGAAATTTTTTTCAAAACACCTCCAGCTGGGAACTCTCGAATACCGTGTAAACGAAAAATGTGTAACGTCGAACCGAGCGACTCCCTGCGACGTCTCAGTCGAAAATAATTCGGGTCATGCTAGATAAGCTGAGCATTATCGCCAGCAGATAAGAAAATTTGCAGATTAGATTGCGAATCGAACAATTATGATGACACTGACCAATGTCTTGTTATTGATGAAGACAAAGACGATTAATCGTCGTGTTATCCGAACGAGTATCGGTTCAAATAGCTTTTGGTTGTTAAACATTGTAGTTCACTTGTGTTTATCGTAGTTTCTGTTGAAATCTGCTTACCGGTGGACACTCGTCAAACGCGTACACATTTTTGAACTGTCATAGTTTTTGTAAAGATATTAATTAGTCACGTTTATTTCAAGGCACATCAACTTGCGTCATTATTACTTATTTCTTAACCCTTTGCACTCGGAAGTTTTTCATTAGAAATATTTGAACGTCTTCTGATGAAATAGAGAGGATATTTTGTGAAGCTGACTCGACGAGAAATCACACTTACATTGAGCGACAAAGCTATTTTGTTTCAATATTCCTCAAATTGATGCATTGTACAGAGTTTAATATTAAGTATCAAATTTTATAGTTTTACTGTATGAAATCAATTGGTGAGTGAGAGGCACCTCTCGAGTGCAAAGGGTTAATATTTTCATAGAGAAATGTATAATCGAAAATTGACGACAAATGATCGTAGTTTTCGTTAATGGATAACAGAGATTACGTAGTACTACTGACGTAACGTGCACTTTGTTGCATGGATGCGTGCGCGTGTAGATTTCCATTGAAGTGTCCTTAAGGTATATAAATTTTCTCACAGTATGGAAACGTGCTTCATAGAGAACCATTTCTCAGGCATATAAAATGACCTTGACTAGAGATTAATCATAACCTAAGCTCCCTTCCCATTTTTCATGGGAAGAGGTTTCGCTACAGTGTATTCTAAAACATTTTCGTCGCATAATTAATCGGGGACTCGTTAAATTTCCTGTCAATTTATGCGACACGAAAATGGAGAACGCCGAATCATCCCACATAATTATTGGGTTTCTATATTTCCGCGAATACGATGACTTCACGGTCCTGCTATGCTGATGAAACGAGCAACGGAGTCAGTTCGATCTGCTGTCGGGTCATTAACGGAGTCATTAGGTTGCTCCTGAATGAAGGAACGATTCATCGGTCGCTTAAAGCTGTTAAATGCTGTCAATGTTATTAGAGTACAGTTTTATCAGCAGTACTTTGATTATCTTGTACGATATTATCGTGTGATTCATTAATTCGTCACATTAACAAACTACGCACCTTTATGTGTTTACCGCAAGTATTTACAGCAGGTTTCCCTGCGCGTTTTGTGATCTGATTTCAATTTGCCTGCAATGTAATCGAAATGTCTCGAGCAGCGCTCCACGGAAAGGCAATGAAAAATCAATTTCCTTAGGATTCAATGTACCTACGTATCTTTCTTTATATTTCTTTTTCAGTCCAAATTGAAACTTCCTTTAACGCGTGTTCCACCCAATCATGCCTTCCTTTATCAGCGTTCCTCCTTTCTTTAAGGGCTACTCATTCTTCTATATAGTTTTTTGATTTTGAGAGCTCCTTTAGTTTGAGCGCCTCAGCGAGTGAGCTTGTGAGCCTTTGAGCAAATGTTGTGCCCGAAAAATCTGACATTTGAGAGCTTTTGAGCAATGTGTTGTAGCTGAAAAATCTGAGATTCGAGAGCTTTTTAGTTTGAGCGCCTCGGCGAGTGAGCTTGCGAGCCTTCGAGCAAAATGTTGTACCTGAAAAATCTGAGATTCTAGAGTTTTTTTTAGTTTGAGCGCCCCAGCAAGTGATCTCGTGAGCTGTCAATCAAATTTTGATGCCGCAAAATCGGAGATTCGGGAGATTTTT